TGAATACAGTTAAATTTGATTAGTCTGTTGACCATTGAGTGATATAGAGACCGCCAATGAATTCTAGCCAAGGGTGATCATCAAACATAGTTTTAGACTTCCATAAGCTCCTCAATCTTGTTCATACATTCGAGAGAATTTAAAAGTACTTTCAATAGGCAATAAGATGAGGGAAAGTAGGGCCGGCTATTCGTAGTGTAGGTCTAATACATCACCAATTAGTCTTATATTTAATCTTACCTCTAATATGCTTACCAGATTTGATTAAATCTTATCTTTTATATGCTTACCAGATTTGATTTGCAATCTCACCAATTGCTATCAAGACACTGATTTTTATTCATATGACTGACTGTTCATACACCAACCCGATAAATTTTACACAAGGATGAAGTGAAGCATGTACTCTTTCTCTTTTCTTTTTTCTTTTTTCTTTTTCTTTCCTTATGGTTTTATTTTATTTGGGGGGGCGGGGGAAAGGAAAATTATCAAATCACTAATGGGTCATAAGATCCCGAATTATATTTGAGGGTTTGGTTTTAATTTCTACTTCAATAAGGTATGTCCTCAACAAAAATAAAAAGTAAAAAATCCCCAAAATGCCCATATTCAATGTTTAGAAGCCTAAATAATTAAGTGCCCTTTGGTAATTTTACCCCTAAATAGGCCCTAACATAATGGAAAAAAATACCCTTGTTTGTTTGGTGTTAGAAATACGGAAAACTTGTTTGACATTTGAAATGGGGAACAATAAGGGATATTTACATCATTTGACATATTGTTCATCATTTCAAAATGCAGCACAAGCTGTATTTTTAACTCTAAAGAAGCTGAGGTATTTTTGTTATTATTATGTTAAAGCCTCTTTAGGGGTAAAATTACCAAAATGCCCCTAATTATTCAAGCTTTTCAACACCGAATAGGTGCAATCGCGGAAATTTTTAACATTTCATTTGATGACGTACATAACTAAAATAGAAATTTAAAAGTAAACCTTCAAATATAATTTGTGAACTTTTGACCACTTTAGTAATTTTGTAAAGCGTTTCAACCTTTTAATTGATAGTTTCCTTTTTTTCATATTTATGGTGGGTACTGGGTAGTCAGAGGATTCAAACTAGAGATTTACCATTACAAGGTCAACACCTTAACCAATACAGTACGAGTCTCAATCTCAAAGTCAAAGTGTATTCTCGGAGTCTCTACTAGTGGCTTTTGCATATTCCTGGAGCCCATTCTCATTCATTTCATTTACTAGGAAACAACACATCTTGCTCATCAATGTCAAAACTGGCTAACACCCCATGGCCTGAGAAAACCAGTAAGCTCGCATTGGGACAAGTACTCCGTCGTGACACGCAAGTGTGTATCTCAAAACACCACCCATTATGTACTAAGACAACATACTTTGATGTGCCTAACTATAAACCTTGTATTCTTAGAATGCACCAAACATGAAAATCTTGGTTGCTGTTCACAAGAATGCCATTGTTAAAGTCTTTTCTTCAGTTTGTACAGTCTCATGACCCACTTAAATGCCCCACTAAAAATTTGGTCCTTGGATGACAAAATGCACAAACATGCGCAACACACACAAGTATTCTGATGGTTCGAACCATCTCATCCATAGACTCTTGCTAAGAAATTAATCTCCCAAGGTCTCACTACAGGGGGAGGGTGACGTTTTATTAACTGACTTGAGGCCAGAGTGCACTTCTCTTTTAGCAATCTACTTGAATCACTCAATGACAAAGACTGAGGTAAGATATCAAAGTAGACTGGCTACCATCTCAAGGATATGCCCCCAAAGGGGCATTATTAGGGATTACCTTTGTTTATAAAAAGGTGTATTCAGGAACTGGTTCTGATATAATTCGTTGTTGTAAGACTTCCATTTTTTTAATTAAAATATAGTTGAAAAGGAAAATACGTTTTGGTAAAATGATTTTACTACCCATAATAATTTTTGAGAAATAACTAAAGACTATCATACACAAAAGTTGATCAACTGAACACATCATAATTTAATTGCGGCAACATTTCAAATATGGGCTTGAATAAGCTCACGACTTTCAGTGATATATGTCTGATACTGATCTGATACTGATATGGAAGATGATTAAGGCGCATTCACTACTATGCTAACTTCTACCTATAGAGATACAGCATATAAAATAATGTACCAGACGCATTCAAAATTCCTTCAAAGTAAAAAAGAATGTGATTCTATTACATTAAATAAATTCTTCCAAATGACAGTCTTACATAGGGAAATATTTTGTGTCCCATAGCCTCCCATGTGTCTTTCAGTTTAAGGTATTTAAAACCCCATTATACAACCAGCTTTTTTTTCTCACTTTTTTCTGATGATCATCGTACAATATAAACTGAGCATTTACATCTGGGATGTGAAACAGAAAGAAATGATAGTTATACAGGGGAAACAAATCCCAAGCCACGAGCCAAGAATAAATAAACCACTGGATTGCCATAACAGAATGCTTCCCATGCATACTCAGTTTTGTTCCACAGGAATAGATCCTCTCATTTTACTCAAAACCTCTTCTCTTGCAATACGCATTAAAAAGAGGCTGGCAAGAAGGATAGCAAGAATAAGCATTGCAAAGACACCATTCCATCCCCTGGAAGAGATATATCCAGTCAATAAAGGTCCCAACGCTGCCCCAACTGAACCAGTCCCATCAATAATGGCTGTCACAGTGGCTAAGGCACGTGAGTTGCCTTTTATGGAGCTTTGTGTGCCCAGATCGGCTGCAACTGCAGTTGTAATCAGTGAATAGGGGCCATTCACTAACAAGCCCGAAATAAACATCAGGCCAATATTGGTATGCATTGAGTAGCCTCCATAAATTCGATATAATATCAAAGATGGGATAGAGAAGAAGAAGAATGCAACAGATGTCATGGCGCGAGCCCCAATTCTATCTGATATATATCCTGCCAAAATTCCGCCAAAAACTCCTCCCATGTCGAAAATGGTTGAAAGGATGCCAGCAGCTCTATCCGATAGGTGTGAACCAGCAACAGCTGGAGAAACCATAAGAACTAAATTAATAACTACAAAAATAGGAAAAAACGATGATTTCTAATGACAAGATAGAAATCAGGCACTACTAAATTATGAACATGATGAGAAAAATATGATGATGAAAATGATAGTGATGATCATGACGACAATCATCACGAAGAAAATGACATAAGCAATCAAAGATGGCAACATTGACAACGAACATGATGATAGTGGCTATCATGACAAAAGCAATCAAAGATGGCAACATTGACTACGAACATGATGATGGTGGTTTTCAAACCAATAACAACAAAACCATAAGCAATAGCAATAGAAATGACCATAACCCTGTGCACTTACATTTCTGATAATGATGATGATGAGAGTGATGATGATGATGATGATGATGATGATGAGAGTTATGATGATGATGATGATGATGATGATGATGGGGATGATAATCAAATGAAGGACAAGAACAATAAATAATAAAAGCAGTGACAGTAACAATAACAATAACAATAACATAAATCCTATGAACAATTATAGCTATGACAATTGTGACAATAAGTATGATGGTGATGGTGTTAATTAAAACAAAACAAGATTAAGAATAGCAAGACAACAAAAATAGCAGCAACCTAACCATGCGAGCAATTACAATTACAACAGTGCGAAAAGCATGACGATCATACGAGCAAGAAGAACGATGGTGCTACGCATACCTGTGTGCCGTATGTAAAAGGGCAACCAATACAAAAAGGTATAGGCCACAAGCTTGGAAAAGAATAAGCAAAAGGCATATGGGGCCACTCCAGGAAGCCTCCATGCATCAATAAACCCTATGGCAATAGGAACTTCAGGCAACTTAGAAGGATCCAAAAGGCCTTCCTCCTCCCCTTCTGTGCCCACAATTATTCTCACTGAACCATCATCCATAGCCATTTCCTTCTTCATTTCTGAGTCTTCCGAAACATTTCCATTACTCAACTTTGAATCAATCCTATACAGTCCTATCTCTGAACTTTGCGAACTCGATGAAAACCCCACATCTTCAGGACACACAACCAGAAAGAACAACACCAAAAACCCCACCAAAGATATTGAAATTCCAGGCAAAACAAAAGACCAGCCCCAACCATAGTGTAACACCGCTGAAGCTATGAGAGAGCCAAATATATTGCCAAAAGAAGTGTGGGCATTCCAAATTCCCATTATCAAACCTCTTTTAGACTTTCCAAACCAATTCCCCATGACTGCAACTACAGATGGCCATCCAGTTGATTGGAACAAACCACTTATCATTTGAATTGCTAAAAAATATGCAAAACTGTGTATTTTCAACCAGTAACCTAACCCAAACATAATTGTAAAAAGCCCACTACCCAACATTCCCAGAGTGAGAAACAAGCGAAGATCGATCCGATCACCAATGTGTCCAGCCCAATACATACCCAAAGAATACATTGAAAGGAATGCAAGATCAAGCTCGCCCAGACGATGGGTTCCTCGAATTCCATCAAAAGGAGCCCACCCACCACTTGTATTGTTAGAACCAGCATTCTCAATGGAGATTGAAGTGTTTATCAATTCAGGGCTCGAAATTCCTGGTCCTAGAACACTCTTTACAATACTTGGGGGCTTCCTAGATGCATGGAAACACGCATAGGCTGAGAATGTGATAATCACAACAGTGGTTTGATAGAATTGAAGCGATCTCTGGGATGTTTTTGTTAGGTTCAGGAATTTGAATCCAGGGGGTAATCCCATGTGTAGCTCCATTAGAAAAGAGACCTGTATGGATTAATTTTCATGTATTTCTGTATGGAAAGACAACACCATGAAATAGAATTAAGATCAAAGAAGAACCGAGAAAGGGGATCATGTATTTACAGGAGAAATATCTCATGAAAAATCACGATTGTAGATCGATGTTGCAGAGAAGAAAGAAACTAACCAAGAGTTGGTGATTGTATAACTTTGAGAGAAGAAATCAAGAAATCTCTACAGGAAACCAGGAATCCAGACTAAAGGGAAATAACCCAGGTAGCCGTAGAGATCAAGCAATCCAAAATACTGGTTAGAGTCGTTGCAGTAGATAGAGAAACAGAGAGAGGGAGTTAAGAGAGATAGAGATTGTGATTATCTTTTCTTTAACTAGATATATATTCATATTCAATTCTATTGTAAGCCGAAAGACTAAAAAGCCCCTGATTTTCATCTAATTTATTTTTGACCCATCAGTATTATCAATTTTTTTATGGGTGTGGATTGTATAGACCCTAGGCTCTAAACAATCAAATTAGAGCCTACCTTCAAATAGTGTCGAAAAATATGGTTTCAAACTTTCAACACTGATAGCGTTAAAATATATTTTGGTCTTTATTTATAAAATTTAATGCTTCAAAAATAGTATAGATCGACCGATCTATGAAAACTTGGAATTTTTTAAAATTAACGGTCCAAAAATGCGTTACAAAATCCGTTATTTTCAAAACTTGAAATCCCATACATCTTGATGGCGAGGTGATCAATTTGAGAATATTTGAGCATCAAAACAACTTCAAAATAACCTCTTATAATGAAATTTTTGAAGTAAGATCTAATTTGATTGTTTAGGGCCTCAGCTCTATATGAACTTTGCCTTTTTTTAATTCCATAAAACTAAGAAAATAAACACGATGTAAGTTAATAATGTGACCTAAAATTTCCTACAGTTCTTTGACATCTCTATAGCCGCCTACCATTGAAATTGACGATCGGGATTATGTCAAAGTACTGTTTGGTTATCAAGATAGCTCATTATATGATCCGCTAAATCCAATCGGATTCACTAGTTAGATGATCCGCCCTCCCCCATATCACCTCATCTTAGTTTTATAATAATATATCTTTTGAAAAAAATATACAATGAGGCTATTTATATTTGATGCATAGATGTCACAATTAATCTTGACAATTAGGTGGTTGTATTTATTCCGTTCATTAGATTCAAAATCTTAATGAAATTTTTTCAAACTTTATAATACTCTCAAGCTATCAAATTTCACTTCAAATACTGATAGGTAATTATGATCTCTTTGTATCAAATGTAAATAATTTATATATAACTACATATATTTTAGTATTTTATACCAATTCAGTTAATTCGAGTCATCAACCAGCTAATCTAGGACGGTCCAATGGGCAGGCGATCCAAAACCCATTTTGGGTTCTAAAACACTCTGATCATGCATGTGAAGACTTCCAAAATCTGTGCCCCACGAATTTCTTTCATGGTTTCAAATTTTATTAATGATTTACTTGAAAATTTGCCTGAGGGGTACTCCAGATAATATAAAGAGGAAATTGGTTGGATTTGTCAAATTATAACAAGCGAATTTTGAATTCAGAAATAACGAGGAAATAACGGTTGCAGTTGGTGACGATCGTGCACACCCGGACACGCGTTTTATTCGGCGGTAAGAAATCGTACAACGGAGTATCGACTAAGATCGCTTTAAAATTTAAGTTTTAGGAATATGGTTTGACAAGGCTGCAGCAGCCTTATCAAAATAAATAAAGCCTCATCTCCTAATCAGCCTTGTCAAAATAAATAAAGCCTCATCTCCTAAATCATCGAAAATTGTAATTGACTTATTGGAAAACCTTTACATCAATCATCCTCACTTAAACATTCTAGTTGTAAAAATAAATTTAGAATTTTAAGCTCTAAAAATTATTTATATCATAAAAAATTATCTAGACAGTCTATTTCGTCCTAAAAATAAGTACTCATAGCTTTGTTTTGCTTTCATAAAGCCTACGCCTTATAGAAATCTTATCATTTATATTTGAAAATTAAAAAATTTACACTTATATTAAAGTAAAGATTATAAAGCCTAGGCCTTATAGAGATCTCATCCTTTATATTTGAAAATTAAAAAATTTACACTTTATTAAAATAAAAATTATAAAAAAAAATTAAAATTACTCGCATCCCTTTTGTTTATCATTTTTATTCTAATTTTACTCTTAACTCTAGAAATTGACTATCTAAATCACAAATGACATTGGATTTTCTATATCTATAATCAAATCATTTTATTCCTTTTTGAGAAAGTTACGTATGTATCCATCATTTTGAATATATTCATGAAAATACCTCAAAGTTTCTGTTATTATATATATGTTTTCCCTTTCATAATATTTTTTAAAAAATGATGAAACTACCATTTTCGAAAATTTTTAAAAATAGTTTTTAAAAGGCCGAAAATGAACCCAAATCGTGTTGCAACCATACCAGACAGGTCTTCTTAATAGAAAAAGCATTTGGCGATAAGCTTGTGCTTGTTTACAAAGATATCATAAATTATTAAAGTATGCCATTCACAATACATAAAATATTTAGCCAAGGCTGCTTTGGTATAAGGGGTGGTATATTGGAACGTACATTTCGATCCACATCCAGTGTGGGTATTAGAGCATTGAGATGACATTTTCTTCTAGTTTACCGGTTATCGTGCTCATGGTAAACATTGAGTAGCCAAATGTAGAGTAGATAACCGCTGAAAGCATCTAAGTAGTAAGTCGATCCCAAGATGAATGCTCTCCTATTCCTACTTTCTCACTGCCTGCATTTGTTTGAATAACGAAAATTGGGTCTCTTTCCTTCTGCCTGAAAACCCTTTGTCCGTGCGCCTCTCTTCCTCCTTCTCTGTCTCCTTCTCCCACTTCTTCGCTTGTCTTCTTGTTTCAAATCTAGATGGAAGGTTCACGGTCGATTTTTTAGAATTTATTAGACGAAATTCAGATCTAAAAACAAAGCATGTATGCAAAAAATGTTGATTTGAGAGCTGATTTCAAAATTCTAAAATGCACTCTCTTCCAAGTGCTCCGCATCAAAATAGTTATATATACCCAAGTGAAATAAATTATAAAACTAACTATTTATTGATAAATAATTATGGTAAATAGATATACTAAAGTGAAATAAACTTTAAAACTAGGAAAACTAACGTATATATCCATTATATTTATCATTATTATGCGATTATCTCTAAGTTTATCTTATTACACCTACACTTGTTTTTTTACCATCTTAAAAATAAATATACATATTTTTAGTTTTTCAAAAACTAAAATAAGACTTGATTCGATTTTTAAAAAACTCACTTTTTATTTCTCTCTTTAGTTCTCTCTGATGAGCTTATATCTGCAGTTAGCAACAACAATCTTATTTTTGTTTTGGAAAAACAAAAAAGCACTCTTTTTTCAAAAAAATTGTTAGGAAGGTGAAAAATGAGTCTAATAACAAAAACTTATAAGTAATACCATAATAACAGTAGGTATAATAGATATATACATTATTTTCCCTTAAAACTAAATGCCTATCAAAAAATTATTTCATTTATCACCTTGAAGGAATTTTTGACATGCAATTAGTTTTTCTCTATTTTCTCTTTATTTATTTATTTTAATCGTCATGTTCATGCAAGATGGTCTGCTCCGATGTGCAGGACCCTCTTATTGAGGGGCCATCTTTTCACATTCCCTCTCATTCTCATTCTCATTCTCATTCTCTCTCCTCTTCCACTTTCAAATTCGGACCCGCGATCGTTTCCCACAATCAAACGCCACTGCCATGTCTGCCACCTCAACCAGCGGCGAAATTAGATGTACTTTCCGGCGATCTTCGCCGGACTCCATAGAGAAGAGCGAAAAGTTCCGGCGAACCCTGCCAAATTCCGGTGACAAGAGCGAGATTTTCTGCTTAAATTTGCTGATTCTGGGGAAAAGGGTGAGGTTTTACGGCTATCATTGTCTGACTCTGGTGAGAAGAGTGAGCTTCTACGGCGACCTCTGCTGGATACGGGTGAAAAGAGCGAAATATTTCGGCAATCTTTGCCAGATTCTGGTGAAACAAGCGATGAGCCCTCTGTTTCAGTCCTTACTCAAGAAGTTGCCTTCTCTTCCGGTAACCCTAGAATTGAAGAGACAAGGGGTATTATGCACCTATTCAGAGACCTTTCTCAGCACCCTGGTTCTGTGGCGGAGCTACCTGTAATTTCTTCCCCTCTGCTTTTTAGGGTTTTGAGTCGTGCAGTATCATCGCCCTTGTTGTTCTTTTGGTTTATATTTTGTCTCGATTTAGTGCCTGGGTTGATTTAGTTGGCTTTATGGTGAAGTTTGGTGCTTCTTTATTCCCCAGCTTGGACTCCAATAGTTTTTTGCGTTCTGCTATGGAATTTTAGAGAGATAAATAGCTATGAGTTCCAGAATGGGTTAGGTTTTTGGTGCATCTTTCTTCTTCCTCGGTCGCTCTAGCCCGTGGTAGCTAGTGTTGGAACTCATTCGCGTTTCTATTGTTTTCAGTGGTTTTTTTTATTTTTATGTGTTAGTTTTCAATTTCTTACATGAACCTTGCAGCCAGGAGAAATTGACCTTTATTTTATGGTTATTTGAGATCATCTCTAGAACTTTAGCGAGAGAAATAGTGCTGATTGAGCATGATAAATATTTGATGGTCTAATGCATTCTTGCTATAGTGTAAAAAAAGATGACTTTCTTTTGTGAACCTTGCAGTCAGGGAGAAATTCTCTTGTTTGCGTGTTAGCTGTTCCCAATCACATGACATATGCAGATTTTTGCCAATTTTGTGGTTCTTTTATCCAACACATTTCAGAGATGCGAATTGTTAGGTAAATTTTCACTTAGTTTGGGAAATTTGTGAACTTTGTTTACTTCTTCTTGCCAATGATTGGGTTCTTGTTTTGTTTAATCAAATTCACTGTTTGAATTTAGCCGAAAAATTGAATTTTCTCGGGGTGTTTCAGAAATGATGGTGCAGATGATCGGTATAGTGTCCTGATTCGGTTTGACAACCAAAACTCAGCAGATAACTTCTATCACCATTTTAATGGGAAGCTCTTCTCATCTCTTGAGGTCTATCTAAAGTATCCTTTCTTTTAGTGGAAGTTTTACTCTTTCAGTGTAGGTTCTCATAAGTTTTCTATTATTTGGATGAAATGTTAGAAACATTTTTGTATTGTAATTTTACTTTTATTTCATTTTATTGCAGGTGGAAGTTTGTCATGTCCTATTTACTTTGGATGTTCAGTATACAGGCTCAATAGAGCATGCCGTAGCTTCTCCAACGGGATTCACAGAGCTACCTACATGTCCAGTTTGCCTTGGTGAGTTGATCGAACATTTGAAAAGTTATTAACCTTCGATGTCCTAATTAAAGTTCTACCTCTGACAAGTTTCATGTCTAGAGTATAGCACCACTTTACTATAGGAATTCTATTGCACGTTTGAATTGTAAGTGTCCTTTGAGCTAATGGATAGAACATTTATCGATTGTTATGGCTCAGTTGAAATTTAAATCCATCTATAAAAACATGCGGCATGTGTTATAATGTCGCCGACAAGTTTTGACAGGGAAGACTATTTGTGTATCACTATCTATATCATCATCATCATCATCATCATCATCATCATCATCCGAGCCTTATTTAAACTATTTGGGGTTGGCAACTTGAATCATGTTCTATCATTATGTTCTTTCAAGGGCGATACCCTCAATAAGACCATTAGTGTCCTTTCTTAGTACCTCCATCCATATCCTTTTGAGCCTTCCCCTTGCCCTTTTAGAGCCTTCCGTTTGAACCAAATCGTACCTTCTAACCAATGTTGTATTAGGCATACTCTGCACATGGACAACACACCTAAGTCTACTTTTTCTCATCTTATCTCCTATTGAAGCCACATCTAAATTTCCTCGGATGTATTCACTCTGAATTCTATCCTTTCTTCTCTTGTCACTAATCCTTCTCAACATCCTCATCTCAGCTAAACTCATCCTATGAGTATGTTGTTTCTTGATTGCCCAACATTCCATCCCATAAAGCATGGCTGGTCTTACAAAACAAACAAAAAGATCAATAAGTTTAGGACTTCTTCCTTGCCCTCACATACTTTGCCACAAATATAGGACCCTTTCTCTAAGCACACACCCCTTCCACCAAACATCTATTGTTTAGGATCTCTTCCACATGAATCCACCAGCTCCACAAATCGTGGACCCCATGCATTTCTCTACTTTAAGGAAACCCAACTAACTAAATTAAGAGAGACTCATGACGCTCTAAAATCCTAAGAATATAGGAAAGAACCATGTTAATTAATGGGGTTGTGACCCCTGTTTTTGGTTTTCGTCTTCTCTATTGTCACTCTCCTTGGTGACATTTTACCTTGTACTTCTTTAACCATCAATACATTGTTAACAATATACAAAAAAAAAAAAACCCCACGTTAATTAATCCTAGGGAAATAAAACTTACTAAATTTACTACTCCTAGCCAAAACTTTAAATAAATGCCAGTTTAATCCCTCTATGCCATTAGTCCCCCAAAATTAACTATAACAAAAATAAAAATAAAAAATAAAAAGTCCAGCCACTCCAATTAAAATCCCCATAAAAAGTAAAATAGAGAAAACTCTAATCAGCCCATATCTTGAATGTCTTGGATGTGATCTGCTTCATCCTTCTGTGGTTGGAGAAGACTCAACTCCATTGGGTCGGCTCCTTGATACTCGTCCCCACTCTTCTTGAACTCAACATGATGCGGTCAAAAGCAACTCCTCTTTCTTCAAGTTGCCTTAATATTCAGGCGAAAGGTCCTTGTCATGGTGTTGGCTTGCCATTTATTGGTAATGGCCTTGGCAAGTAGGGTCTTACCTCAGCCTGGAGGGCCATATAAGAAACCCCCTTAAAGGCGACATTCCGAACTTCTCAAACTTCTTTGGATGAGTCACAGGATATCGAACAATCTCTTGCAGCTCTCGTAGTAGCTATTATAGTTGTCTCTCCAATGAAATGATAGACGGTGCATTCTTCTACCCTTCTTCAAAAGTCTTCCTTAGATTACTTTCACCTTCGTTTGTGAACTGCCGGAGTGAGACAAGAGTCACACCCTACTTGAAGACCTGGGTTGAACCTGCTTATGTAAGGCAGCAATACCACCTTAGGTCATCCTTCCAAAAAGGATAGGTGCTATGCTCTTACTTCATCCTTCTGAAATTTATAGATGTTATGCTCTCCATTACGATTGGTTTGCGATCATATTGCTAGGGGTATCCGAGGAATATGTGGCAAGCACCCATTGGTGCAACATCACACCAAACCTCATCTTTATAGAAATGAGCAATAGAAAATTTAATCAAGCATCGAGAAGTAATCGGTACTTTTACCCTGTTTTGAACCATGTGACTTTGTGTGGATGGATGTGCTTTTCTACCTTGAAATACAACTTGTCAATTGCCTTTTGTGGCACCATGTTCTCTCAACTCCCCTTGTCGATGATGACGTTACACAACTTGGCATTACATGTGCATCATGTTCGAAATATGTTAGTTGTCAGTGGAATGTTATCAAATGCGGTGGCATAATACATTATGCGGCTAGGCGCATTGCTTCCGCCCGTATATGAAGGAATTTGCGATGTGCCCGTGCCCGTATATGTGGCGACACCACATCTGAGGCAATGCACCCACATTGCGCCCCTACTTGTGGGCAGAAATTTTGCCCATGATCAGGTACAAAATTGTATTCACACCCCCTCCCCCAAAAAAGAAATCCCACAAACCATACTTCCATGGTTCTAGGGAGAGGTTCTGGAAGTGCATGAATGTGGACCCAATTGTATTGGATGAACCTGAGGGCACGAGTGCCCAGTAGATCCACGATCAATGTGGGTGTTCGAGGGTGTGGACCTTACTTGGTTGGATGTTGAACAAGCTATGGGGTTTGGAGAAGAGGCATGTCCTAGTACTAGATCACAAAGGAAGAGAGTTTGGTCTACATCGACATTGATTCCAAGGATTGAAGAGGATGAGGCAGAGAAGACAGAGGAGGAAGAAGGGTATGTGGTGAGGGTGATTAAATTGATGATGGCGACTCTTCAACCTTGGGTGTGGATGGGGGAGATGCATGTGATGGATTATCACATGAATTTTCCGCTTAATAATTGAGAGTTGCGAATTGGCCTCGAGTGTATTTATTATCTTTTATATTTTGCATGTTATATATTTTTGGTCTTTGGAGTTTGAAAGTTATGTTTAAGTTGTGACTAAGAGGGTGTGGTCGTGAAATTGTGATTGTGAAGTATTTCTGGTCTTTGGATGTTTTGTTAAACTAGTAATTGTCGTTGTTATTGGGATGGAATGGATTACTTTATATTACATGTAAGACAACAAACTTTGTTACTCTTTATCAAACTATCAGGCTATCTATCAAGCGCCTCAAACAGCTGATGTATTAGAGAAGGTATCGCGTAAACCACACATTTGTGTTTTCTATGCATTCTTATATTTTAATGGTTTCCTAAAAAACAATTTAAATTTATTGACCGCATCCTGTGTGATGTGCTCGCCTCGGGATCGCATCGAGCCACTTCCTACCTCAAACCCGAAACCGCATTGAGTTTGCATCCCACATTTGATAACGTCGGCCAACCTTCTTCTTGTGGGGCATGTGACAAACAGAGCACACATCCAACCAATGGGGACTCGCCTTGGTCTGTGACCACTACAATCTCCCTTTCATCTAACTCAATGTCATGTTCACTTGTTGCGTGCTTCTTGTGATCCACTGCCTGTTCTGTGTCACTCAGGTTCCACCAAATTGGCATGACATTGGGTTTCATCCAAGGGACGCTCAGCAGGTCAGTACCTCATGTCATTGCCCTATTCCAGGAGCTGGGTCATCAATAGTAGTCGAAACTCTACTGGTTAGAGACCCATGTGCCCCAGATTGAGATGAACCCTCTCCATGTGTGGGTCCACGTGTGGGCTGCCCCATAGTTACTGGGATCTTCCATGGGGTCTATCCACTCCAATGTTTCACTGCTAGACTCTAGGGCAGGGATTCTCATTCCTTTGCGATTTTTGAACTTTCACAATGTTTCCTATTGGGGATCGAGATCCTGAGTTGCAAGGATCCAGATTCCCTAGCATTGTAGCATAGTATAGTTGTAAGGTCTGGTATAGCAATGTGGTATAGTATAATAGTACAATATAGTAGTATAGTCTAGTCTAGCAGTTGGGGATACTATAGCAGCATATACTATATGGTATAATATATGTTCTATAGTTGTATGTAGTAAATTCAAATACAGCAGCATGTAGTATCGTATATTATAGTGTAGTATGGTACAGTACAGGAGGATATTGTATATAGCATAGTGTTGTAGTATTATTGCATAGCAATGTGGCATAATATCTACTGTACTATTATCCTAGTTAACTGCTCTTAGGGGCTTATTATTAATTAGATGGAGCTCGGTCTTGTACAATTTATCATTGGATTCCAATTAGGTTTGGATGGAGCTCTGTCACATATTGGGAGCGAGATCCCTAGATGGTGTACAGACCGTGGTTCCTACCATAGGGAGCTTAGCTTCCTGCTTTCAAGATCCTACAGTCCCGATCCCTATCCTGGATCTGATTTGATCCCTATCCCAGTAACTTCAGACTATCCCCTTTCTTTCTTATTCCTCGACCTTCAATGCATCTTGATAGTTCTCCCCAATTGTGGCATATGGTAGTGCAAATTAATCTTGGATCAAACTCTGTAGCCTTGAAACATAATGTGCCACCTTTTGATCCTCGGTCTCTACTAATCCGTTGCATGGGGACCACTAGTGAAACTGTTGGAACAACGTTGGTGCATAGCTGGCGAGAGAATTTTCTTGCGCAACTTTGCCTTGATCTTGACCCACGATCCAATTGTATCGTTGCCCTTTCAAAGTCCTGCTCCTTGAACTGGACCCCACTACAATATTGCAAGTCCTCCAAGTTTAAGAGCCATGATTTTGACCTTCTTCGAATTAGACGAATCTTTCCAATCAAAGAAGCACTCAACCGTGCTCAACCAGTCCAAAAACTCTTCGGGAGAAGAGTTCCATAAAACTCAGAAAGATCTAATGTAATACCTAGATCAAACTCTCTTTGCTCATATATTCTCATCACTATGATGCTGATCGCATCACTTGTCCCTGTCCATGCCTTTATACCGATTATGTTGGCCTCAAGGTGGTCAGCTGCCTAGCTCTCCATCAAATTCATGCTCCTGTAGTTGCCATCACGTATCAAACATAAGTAGGTTGTTGGACACATCATCAGCCTACTCTGACTCAGATTGAGGCTCCAATTTGTGCCAATCTCCACCAAAACCCTCATGATTTGGATCGAACAACACTTTGTTTGAGGTACACTGTTGCTCATCTCTCCCTTAAAGGAGTCATGTTACCATCTTTGTCAAGTTCTCAAGTCATTCGTTCAATCGGTTCAGATCAGCTTTCCATCGGTCACAACCTTCATGACCGGCCATTGTGTTCTTTGATTGCCTTGGACCTGTCTCTGATACCAATTGATGCAAAAGGAGGACAAGAAGCTAAATCTACTATTCCTTCAGTCTTGGAACAAACAAAATTCAGCAACACAAGGTGAAACATCATTGCTATAAATCAAGCCAAAAAAAAGAAGAAGCAACTCTCTTTTCTTTCATGAACCATTTCAAAACATAAGCATAAATCCCCTCTCAATGGGGCACCAAGTCTTAAGAACAACCACTCTAAATTAAAAAATAAATAAATCCACATCAATTATTGTCTCTTTAAAGATAACATATATCTTCTCCAACTAACTCACTATCGTTAGATTTCTTCATTTCCCTTATGCACTTCCCCACAAATTTTGGACCTTTCCTTTAAACCACCACCAAACTTCTATTGTTTACTTTCATCTGCACATGAATCCCTGCAAGTCCATAAATCTGGGACTCCATGTACTTTCCTACTTCTAAGGAAACCCAACTACCTAAACCAAGAGAGGCTCATGCTACTTTAAAATCCTAAGAAGATAGAAAAGAATCATGCTAATCCTCGGTAAATAAAACTTACTAAATTTACTACTTCTACACAATTTTAATTAAATCGAATTTAAGCCCTCTATGCTATATTGCTATTAGTCCCTCAAAAATAACTGTAGAAAAAAATAAGAACAAATAAACAAGTCCAACCATAGCTGTTAAAATCTTGATTAAAATAAATAAATATCAGCATCTTTCAAATGTCTTGGATGTGATTTGTATCATAAGGCCTTCTTGTAGTCTGCTATACCTGAGACATCTTTGGCGATAAGCCAGGATTTTATCTTTGCATCCTTTCTATGTTTTCACTATGAGAACCATTTCTTGCACCCAATTCATTTTGTCCGTAAGGAAGCTTAATCCAGTATGCATCAGTTCTTTCATAGCATCAACCCGAGACTTCTAAGAGGAGACATAATCTTTGGAGGAAGGTTCCTAAGGCAAATTAATGGAGACAAGGATGGATGATGCTTTGTGGAAATAGAGTGCTCGAGTATAGATTTCTTTATGACAGTCATTTTCTTTGAGGCATATATAAATCAGAAAGCAAAAGAATAGTATTTGAATTGATTCCCTGAAATTTTGGTGTTATATTGTAGTAGAGGAAACAAGCTTGGAAGGACATTCCCTGTTACTAGAAGGAAGGAGGACCTTCAGCTTGAGTTTGATATCTGACATGGGTAATGTGTGCCCTCCGTGTTTTTCGCGATCTTTATGCAAGAGGGTGGGCTTCCCTTTTCATCATCTCTTACTTCGTGAGCTTTTTTTCAAGGCACCACTTCCCCAAAAGCCCCCTTTTGACTACTAGGGATTCCCTTTGGGTTGCAAACATTTGCTTGCTTTCATATTTGTTAAGATCATAAAGACATGTTTATCTTCATAACCTTGTGATTATTTCACGTAGGAATGAGGTGCATCTTGTTGACAACAATTACTGTGCATTAAAATCATCCTATGTTTTGTCATTTGATAGTATCTGTTTTCTTCAGCGGTATGAATATTAGCAAATGTATAGAATGAATTCTTTATGGTTTTTATCTGTCAATATTCAATATTTATAAAATCTAAAAATAGTAGTAACAAATGTTTTTCTTTTGACTTCCTATTATTACATGTACCATGCATTTGTATGGTTCAGGCCCATAAGGTTTCCTATGCAACAATAGCTACTGTTTCTTTTGAATGTCTTCTCCTGCTTAGAAGTTTTTATTCAAATCATATGTCTGACTAATTTGTAATTAAGTAGAACCTAACAATGTTTGGCTTTGACATTATATTTTTTCCCCATTTGTATAGAGAGATTGGATCAAGACATTAGTGGAATTCTCACAACAATCTGCAATCATACTTTCCATTGCTCATGTATTTCAAACTGGACCGATTCTTCTTGTCCGGTAAGAAAATCAACCAATTGGGTGTTTTATTACCTTTACTATGTACATGATAATCATGATGTACTTCTAATGCTATAGTAATATGTTAATTGTTCATCTTCAAAAGCATTAGACAGCTAAGGGATATCAAATTTCTTTGTACTCCTATTTAAACATGAATGTTACTTATGTGTGCAAATAGATATGGCAGTTTCACAATGAGTAATATTATTGATTTGATCACAAATTTATGATGTGGAGAGTCTAAGTTGCTCTTTGGCATGTCTGTGGATATAACACAGGATATGGTTTCATCATTGATTAGGAAAAAGAATTAAAGTGGAAAGAGATGAGACTGATTATCATATAAAAATGGATTACACGCACATAGAATAATTTATCTCTAGATAAGTAAAAAGATTCTTTCTAAGAAGCCATGAATCACTTCAATTGATTTCATCTTCTGCTTTCAGGTCTGCCGTTATTGCCAGCTGCAGCCTGAAAAGTCGACGTGCTCTGTCTGTGAGACATCTGAAAATCTATGGATCTGCGTTATCTGCGGCTTTGTTGGATGTGGAAGGTAAACACTGACCTTGTCTTCTCCAACCAAGGTTCCATTGAGTAGCTTTAAGGGGCTTGGTCTGACATGTTCTTACGTGAACAAAATGTCATTATGCTAGAATGCATGATTAAATCTTTTGTTATGTTACATTAAGAAATTTGTGTTGTTCTGTTGGTAATGTGTTTAGTTTTCCTTTGTTTAGAGTTTGGACTAGTATTCTATGATCCAGTGGACTATGGAAAGGCATTGTCCATATGGGGGTCGTCGCTGCGAATGAAATGGTGGAAGGTGATCTGGAGAAAAGGGGACTCACTTTTAGGGCCTTGTTCTGTTCGTGTGGGTCCCACTCTCAAACATCATTGTCCGCCATTTCATCGGATGGTCATGAACCCAGTGGTTTATGGTTTGCCCTGGTCAATTGGATTATAGTGTACTTTTCCTTCCAATTTCTTTGATTTTAATTTGTGGACCATATCTATTTGCAGATATAAAGAAGGTCATGCTATCAGGCATTGGAGAGAAACACAACATTGCTATTCTCTTGAGCTAGAAACTCAACGAGTTTGGGATTATGTTGGCGACAACTATGTTCATCGTTTGATTCAGTCAAAAACTGATGGAAAGTTGGTTGAGTTAAATTACCATTGCAGGCATGGTGATGATTGTGGCGCTGATACTGGAATCAGTGAGGCCCTCTTGAACAGTAAAGTTGAAGCAGTAATTACTAATTTTCATTAATCATTACTTCAGTGATTTTCATTCTACCAATAGAATGATATTTTTTGTCTATAAATTTATCTCTGCATTGTAGAAATTGTTTTCAATATTGTAATACTCACACTGTCTACCCCGCCCTAAACTGTGACAGATTGTCAAGGAATACAATGACCTCCTTACATCCCAGCTTGAAAACCTAAGAAAAGTAAGTGCACTAATTTATGGGCATCAAGAAATTCAATTTTTACCATACAACTTTGCTTTTTTTAAACAAAATGTTTGAATTTGAAATCTTCTATGCATTGTTTTTGTTGTGATGAGTGAGTGTCACAAATGTGTAAACCATGAGTATAGCTTTGGTGAATCTGTTCATTTATTCCATATATTGATGGTGCCTTAATGGAACGGTAGTACTATGAGTCACTGCTCGTGGAGGTCAAAGAGGAAACCGACAGAGCAATTTCTGATGCTGTGGAGAAGTCGACATCAAAACTGCAAAAGATTCAATCTAAGATTGACAAATGTGCTGAGGAGAAAAAATTCCTTACTGATGTACGTACTCTACTGTCACTGAGATTTTGCTTTTGTTGGTGGCCTTTTTAACAAGGTTTCCTCTTATTTTCTTTGTTGTTGCAACTAGATACATGATAATCTTGTGAAGAATCAGGGGATGTGGATGGTGGAGCTTCAGGATGCTGAACAAAGGTAAATAATCGAGTCGCTTATATTTGCAGAAAATTGTTCTAGTCTACTTACCTTTTTCTGTTGGAGAAGTTGCTCGTTCTCACTGTTTCTGCTGGTAATGGACATTCCATTTAGAGATCTAGGGGGTTTATAGCTTTTTGTAAAAACTTAACTCTGGGTGGATTTGGCAAGAAACTTTGAGCTGATTTGAGCTTTGGACCGTCACTGAAACAATCCACCGCATGAAAAAGTAGTATGTTTTAACATGAAAGATTTCCTCAAAGTTATCTTTCTGCCAAAACTAGCTTATGAAAAACTCACTACTTCGGATTATGTGTTTGTTAACCCAGTATTTTACTTCTATTTCTCTTTTACATCAATGCTTTCTATGGTGAAGCTTTTTTGGCTGTGCTTATGGTCTCCCATGAATGTAAGTTTTATGAGAAGTGGACAGATTTGTGTCATTTTATACAGTTGAATGTATGCTAAAAAAGTTATTGTAAATGGAGAGGATCCCATGTTGCAACCAGAGGATAGAGGATGATATGCAGTGGCCAGATGTGGTGGCTCAGTTGTCCCACCACGAAGGTCTGTGAATCTTGATCATGTTATTAGTCCATCTGCCTAGTCATAGATGAAATAAAATTAGAAATTGGAATCAGAATCCCTAGATTAGTTTGGTACATATGGGGAACATAAGATAAGAATAATAACTATATTGAAAATTTTGATAGTTTAACTTTCGCTTTACTTTTTTGTGGACTTTCCCCACATGGCAAAACTAGAAAAAGCTGTATGGGCGGAAATGGAGGATTTTGACATTGGGAGGTAAAAATTGATCTCATTAAGGTACTGCTATTTGTTCTCAGCTCTAGTATGTCTTTGTTTAAAATGCTACGGATGCGGCTAAGAAATTTGAGAAGTTGCAATATGATTTGTTGTGGAATCGTGCCGCAGCATGAGTAGACAATTCATCTTGCGACTGATGCTTGTGCAGATAATCGTACTTCCGTCTCATGTAGTCCTAATAGAATGGGACCCTAAAATTCTGAAAAATTTCTGGACATCAGGCTTATGAATTTGGTGAGATGAGATTATCACAAAAATGCTTTTAAGCCATCTGATTGGGATCAGGTCTCTTTTATTTCTGCCAGTTTGAGGTGTACACATATTTTGGATAGCACTCAGGGGACCATGAACAGCTTGATTAGAATTTGAGCTCCACAAATGAGGTCGACTGAGGTGATATCGAGATTAGTGAGTTGACGGTTTTCTGGGGCTCTTGTTAGTTAAGGCCATGTGATGGACATTGAGGATATCAGCAGTTGGATTCTATAAACTGACTTCTCAATGTTTTCCAAGCAGGGAACGATCTGATCCTAAGCATATTCCTGCTCTGTTTCTGCATGGAAAGGTAGTATGAGGGAGAAAAGAGAAAAAAATGTGGAAAAAAGATTGCTGGATTTCATTGCCTCTAGGTTCTACTGCCCCTTGATACTAATTTGTGTATGTAAATTGTAAAGTACACCGCTACAGATGCGTACAGTTACCATACATTATTGTTAAATATTATACATACAAATCTGGGACTGCACTATAACAACAAAGAGTATAATGTATTAAAACTATATCCAAATTGTATTGGTATTCTCAACAGTTCAAGGATGTTTTGTCTTGCAATATACTTTGAAATTGTCACCCTTCCTCTTGGAATTGTGGTTCCCTTTTGAAATATAATACAGTGAACTTTACTCAAAAATATACTTTGAAATAGTTGCTAAAGATACATCAAGGACTTTGCTACAACTTGAACCCAACTTCTATCTGCGATTTTAAGTTGTAAAGTGGTAAAACTAAGAAATTATTGGAATTATATGCCTCCCATTAAAACCACTCTTTTACCTTTCATGTGTTTAAATTTGTTCTGTTGTAGGGAGAAAGCAGCATTGAGGTTGAGAGATGAAAAGATAAAAAACTTGGAGGAACAGGTAAACACCTTGTTATTCTAATCCATAATCACAGACTTTGCATTATATAAAACCTTATTTTCTTTCCAAGGTAACATATTTATATTATTTGCGGTGACTTGACATATTGAATCCTAGTTAATTTCTTAACATTGCAGCTCAGGGACCTGATGGTGTATATCGAATCACAGAAGACACTCGATCAACTGCCCGATTCAAATGTTCAGGAAGGGACAGTTTCACCAGTTGCAGAGTCCTCATCGAGAAACACTAAGACTACACCAAGAAAAAACAAGAAAAGGAACTGACCCTTTTCTCGGTGATGTTCTTTTTCTCATGCTTTTCCTTGTGTCCTTTTTGCACTAGGCTGTTATTATGGCAAGAAGTAGCTAATGTTACATGCATGTGTGGTGTCACTGTCCTTGGTTCTATGAGGATGGCATTAGTGTCGGAAATAGTTTTCAACAATCTATTATTTTTTGGCTTCATGATAATGCTTCAGTTATTGTAAACCTGGCCCCAGTCAGACTAATACGGCCAACAGTTTGTTGGTGATGTTTGTGAGGCAATACCAAAGATTTCATGCCATTTGCATTATCATGAAATTTCAATTTTAGATTAGATGTTTGGGACTTAGAAAAGTCCCAAATGCGTCTTACATGGTAATAGCTCCTTCCTTAGAAGTCCCACATTCCTTTTCTGCGGTACTAGAGTCCAGTGTCTTGTCAAAAAACTTTTGTATAAACCTCCTTGACAAAGTTAGCAATTTTTTGTAACAGACCATTATGGGTAAGGACTGAAATGCTTAGTTGCTTCTAATCGGCAAATCCTCATAAATTTTGTATGAGCGACGAGCACTTCTGTACAAAATATTTGCAACAATCAATTAGGAAAACAAGTTTGTACCGTTTTAGGTTCAAGGCATTTATGAGCAAAGAAGCCATTCTTCTATCTTTGATTTGTCTATTGTGCCCCTCATGTCTATGGCTTTTCTCTTAGGTTCTTGCTTAGGCTAGTCCTCCCTTTTAGGTGCTCCTTTCATTGGCCTGCCCCGATATTTACATTACTGATGTTTGCTAGCTTGGGCTACTAGAGCAGTTTCAAATCCAAAAGACAGGTGAAACTCATTTTCAATTTTGAGGTGATGGGAAAGTTGGGAAAAAGTTATTATATAATATTAATGCCGATATATTTTCTTAAGGTTCTAAGAGAGGCCTAAGTATTCTAAGCATATGTTGCTTGCCACCTTCCAACTGCTTCTAGGTCTCACGTCATTTGAGAGTTTTTCCTTCACATGATCTAACATGGCTTTTGGGCGAATGTTTTGTGGCTCAAAAGGCATAGATTAGATTCGCGAATGAGCTGAAGAAGTGCCAACCCACTTCTTCTTGAGCACATCCAACATGACCTTCGTTGCTGGGAATCCTTTAGGGTACGTTTGGTTTTAATGAAACAAGTTGCTGATGTAAAACTATTTGCACATGCAAACAGTTTATAATAAAGAATTTCTCAAGCTTGTTTTGTTTTTGAAAGTGTTGACTGTTGTATATATTAAGAAGTAAGTACATGGAATTTCTCAAGCTTGTTTTCTTAATGTGTGGTAAACACTTCTAGAAAATGCTGTGCAATCAATTTCTTATGTTTGGTAAACTGTATTTCGGAAACCTTGAATGAAAGTATGTTTTAACCATTTATCGTCATAATATAAAATGGAAATGTAGAATGAGACCATTTACCTTTGGTATTAAGTTATCACAATTAATCATGATCATTGGATGTGAAATTGGGTGGCTACATTTATTTCATTGACCAAGCTCAAAAGAAATTTTTTCAAACTTTCTGTACATCCAAGCTATCAAATTTCACATCGGATAGTCGATAATAATTGTGAGTGCTTTGTATCAAATTAAATGGTCTCATTGTATACAATCCCATATAAAATTTGTTGATTACATATGGACATCTACCCAATGAAGGTGATATCTGAAAACTAATCATTTTATCTTGCAAAGAAAAAAGTGGTGGTTTTAGATAATGAGGTGTTCAATAATTTATGGATTATTGCATTCAACATCTCTCTCTCATGAAAAATTAGAAAGAAATATAAAATCAAAATTATTACAGATATCATACTTGACCATCGCAATATGAGGGTTTTGGTGCTTTAGAAGTGGATTTTTAGAGAGAGTTACTTTAACTATTGTTTTTCGTCACGCAAAAATCCCTAATATCTTTGATGAAATTTTGGCATATTCCATGGAGGATTCTGGTCATTAACTCACCGAATTTCAAGCTCAATCTGGTTTTACTAAACTATTTTCTTGATTTATTTATTTTATATTTAGAAAAAAGGAAAAAAATTTAGGGCATTTTGTTAGAAATATTTATTTAAAATAAATGCAATAGTTGTTTCTTTCATTCAATCAAATAGTTTTGTAGCCAGAACAAGTGATATTGTTAATAGGTTTTTGCTTTTTTTGGCAGATTATATGCATTTTTTTGTAGT